CTTCCTATGATGGAATCATATGTGTGTCTGATTTCTTTCACTAGACATAGTGAATAAACATACAACATGTTGTTGTATGTAATAATAGTTGGTTTTAAAATTATATATATGTGTGTCTTATTTATTTAATACTGCATAGTATTCCATTGTGTTTTTTGTTTGTACGTTTGTTTGTCTTTTTGAGGACATAGTAAATTCATGTTGGAATTTGGTGTTGAAACAAATGTAGCTTCTCTAAGAAAAGAGAGTAGGCCATAATTTATTTAACCATTGTGGGCATTTGGATCATTTCCAGCTTATAGTTATTATGAATAAACATGTATGAATATTCTTCTATATGTCTTTTTGGACATATGCACTCAGTCTCTTGGAGATATATCTAGGGGTGGAACTGCTAGGTCATAGGGTAGGCATATATATTGCTTTAGTAGAAACTGCCAAACAGCTTTCCAAAGTGGTTGTATCATTTTCCACTCCCACCAGTAATGTATGAGAGTTGCAGTTGATCCACATCTCACCAACACCTAGTAATGTTAATTTTAATGTCTTGATAATGTCTTTTAATTTTAGCCTGCCAGTGGGTGATTTTCATCTGACAAGTTTCATGGATGTCTAGACAATGAGGGTTAATGACACAGGCATTTCCCCCCCCAAAAAAAAAACTATTTTACCTTGATTGCTTCATTTGCAGGGGTTATTTTTGATTACTTTAGTCCATTGGATAAAGTTATTTGAGAACTTTAAAATATTCTAATATCATTCCCACCAAAAATTTTTTGGGCTAGTTTTGTGTAGGGTCTCTTGGGACGTATGTGTTTGATTCTGTTGAATAGCTTTTTCAGTTCAGTAGGTAACTTATTTCTTAACTCCTACAAATGTCTTGATAATAAAGATATTTCTGCAAAGAGGAAAAGAGAAGTTTCCCATTGAGATAAAATGGAAGGACTAGAAAGAAATGCTTGCTTGAATATCCCTTAATTGTAATTTTTAAGGTGCTGAAATGTGCCAAAAACCAAAAAATTAGGTTTATCTATTACTCTGCAAGAGAAAAGAAACTTAGCAAATGCATTAGTAGTTACTGATTTATTAGGTCATGTTGATCTCACTTTAGAAAATAGGGAGTTGGAGCCTAAGAAAGTGTGACTCAAAGAATTTGCTTCTGCTAAGCGTTTGGGGCCACAGCTCGGGAAAGTTCATAGCATTGGAGACAGCTTGAGAAGGTCAAGGCCAGATGATCAGGAGGTATGAATGCCTTAAAGGTAGGACCAACAAGGGGAGAGAGGATGATCATTCTAGGTTTGAAAGGAAACAACTGGAAACTTCATCTACCTCAGAATTCTGTCATGGATTGGCCTTGAACTCTGGAGGAATGGTGTCCGAGGTATGATGGTGAAAGGGGAGGGAACTAAGTTTTATGTAAGATTATCATAGTTTGTGTCTTTAGGTGGGCTGCTGGGAGAGAAGCAACTATACCTCCCAGAAGCAGGATTGGTTTTTTTGTTCTTATTGTCCTTAATTGATATTTCACTTCTGACTCTAAGGTGGGCGCTCTGTTAGGAATGATATTTAGTATTTAATTTAATCAACACCTGCACCAATGCATCATACTCAATTTGCCATCAGTCAACTAAAATATTACTCAAGGTTGCAGACGTAAGTGGCAGTGATCAAAATGAAAGGTAGTCCTGAAGTTAAACTTGTGATATTGGCAGCTCAAGAATGGAGAGGAAACGTGGGAAATATGTAGAAACATGGAACCCTCTAAAAACCAGCCCATGAGTATCTGTTGTTCCATTTTGATATCTTGGTTATGTGAATTTTATTTCTGGTCTTAATAGAAAACCCTAATGCTCTTCTTGTAATATCATAGAAGCAATGCTTATGCATTCTTTACAAAAAAGAATGAAGGATTATAATTGGTAAGGGAAAGTCAATTTATTAATTTTCAACTAATACCTGTAAATCAGAAATGTACTTTTTGTGCTATATGTAAGTATAGTTTAAAATTTTATTCTATGTATTATTAACCTAAAATATTAATATTTTCCTGGGAATACAATTAAAATAATAATATACAGTTATAACAACGCATAAAGTGGCTTTAACTACTTTAAAAAGTATTTTTTTAAGGTTGATGTGTAGGTTTTGGTGTATAATTCACAGATTTTTGAGGCCAATTCTAAAACTTTCATAACTGAAATAATTCTAATACCTTTGAAAATCAAAAATTAGTCTCAAATATACTCTAAAGGTCCAATCAAGAAATTTTGGTTCATACAGACATGATTTTGTCAGTTATGTTTTTCATACCAAGAGTTAACCTATTGTTAAATTTTTAAATTTGCCTTGATAATAGAAACAAATACAGAAATGTGGCTTGAAATGGATAGTTTAAAAATAATTTGTAAGTTTGTGGAGATATATTTTTCTCCACCCATTAGATAGACTAAGGAAGAAAATCATGTTGCCCAATAAATATTTGTTGAATGATTGAACATCAAGGAAGATATTTCTGTTCAAAAGTAAGAGATTTTTTTAAAAATCTGTTGATTCTACTTCATGTGACCCACAGAAAATGGTCTCCAGGTCTGTCTGAATCCTCAGAACTGGATCTTCAGTATGTTAAAATACTCAGATTAAAACAAAAGGTAGTTGCCTTTAGTAAGGCAATAGTTCATATTCTTGATGGTTTTTCAAGATAGTAACAAAGTTTAGGTAATAACAAAGTGAGAAATGTTTCAAATTCTATAAAAAACAAGGTGTAGGATGCTTTCTGACTGGAAATTTTACTTTCATGTGGATATTGCGACATAGTGGTACGGAAACTTTTTCCATGTGAGGACAATTGCGACCAATAGAATAAAATATCACTTGAAAGTTACATCTTAAAAAGCAATCCAGATGTTTTCTTCCTCTCTTAAAAAACACTGCATCTTAAGTTATGACACTATAGCTTTTCAGTAGTGTGAATACATTTCAGTTGTACTTGAATGACTTAGTTGACTAATTCTGATTAGCTGACTAAACATTATCCTCAACTCCCCATCTATTCAAAATTTAAAATTTAGATTCAAACCAGGGCCAGAGCAAAATAACGATAAAATTATGACTTGGACTGCAGTGTTGGTGACAAAACCCCAAATTCTCCTCTAGTGCAGACTGGCCTCAGGATCATTGTTTTTTCACCACCGATGACACCCCCTGTCATCTTCCTTCTTAGAAACATCTTGGTTTCTAATAGGAGAATGAGATTCAGGAAACTGACGTAATGGGTGAGTTTTTATTTGATTACAGAGTGCATTAGATGGTCAAGTTCATCAGCCTCGGGGAAATTGAGTAATGACTGAAGGCTGAACTACAGCATCAACACATTTGAAATAAAGCACAGCTATTTATAGAGGTGAATCCAGATTTCCTCTATGCTTCTCAGTGATTATCAGAATTGTGCTGAAAATTTGCTTATTCTATTGCAATTTTTAACTTTGAAAGTTACAAATACCTCCAGTAATTTACCTAGGAAGTATGCTTGTGTATATTTACTCACAATAATACTTTTATTTTTAGTGATGGTGTCACAATGGACCAGTGTCATATTCACACAAATAATTTACCTATTTAACGTTGTTGATCAGCAAATCTAACAACCATGTAAGAATTGCAAGATCTAGAGAGAGAGTGTATAAATAGCACATTTACTATCCTATTATTGAGAAAGTCCTAGATTATTCTATGGTGTTTCTAGAGGTAACAAAATGTCCCCCCAAATTCTGATATAAGTAGTTCTACTTCTCTTTAAAATAATATATTAGATTTTTCCCTTCTTCTAAGCCTACTTCAAAAAAACACTTTCTCCCAAAAAGCTTTCTCATTTTTTCTTTACAAATTAAGTATAAAATATTTCAGATATTCAAAAGCTATAAAGAGGAATATAACACCCTGTATCCACCACTCAGCTTAAGACATGAAACATTACAAGATTCTTTTAAAATTGATGATGACTGGCATGTGCTTGACGGGTGTCTTGAGCCAGATTTCTTATGAATGGACATGGGACCAAGAGTCAGTGGCACCCGCATTCAGGGCACCCAGGAATTTCCCCAGACCCCGTGAGATCAGGCTTCCTCTGGGAAGAGAGGTCGTATGCTGCAGCACGTTGGGCCTGATTTGGCCTTTATCTGTGCATCCTCTGATGCTCAGAGCAGCCCAGCCCACCCTCACCTGCCCCTCCATCAGGACCCGCATGCACTCCTCCACACATCCTGAAGCCATATAGGGCACTTTGTAGGCTCCACCTGCGTCCTGTTTGCCTTCCTGAGGAAGCCTACACTCCACCCTCCTGGACTAGGCCCCCTCCTTGACTCCTGGGCTTCCCCTGTGATGTTCAAAAGAGAACATATCCTGATGGAGGGGTTTGAGTGAAGGGGCCAGAAAAAACAACAAAACAAAGCAAGCCAGGTGGGGACGACGACCTCACAGTCTCTGAAGAAGAGTGGAACTTGTTTCATGATGAGCTGGGAAATATTTATGATTTGGATCTATAGCAGCTTTCGTGGCATGTGAACTGGTCTGCTGAGGCTCAGAGAGGAGCTGTCCCTCACTCAATTACATATTGCATAGTATAGTTCTCTCAATTGCAATTGGTTGATACCAAACTTTTTCTAGTCCTTAATTCATCCTTACCATTAAATATTTTGGAACTATTGTGTGTGTGTGTAGATGTAAAAATTTATGTATGATCATATATTATTACTTCAAAAGAAAAAAAATCATTGAGTTTTTGTTCTTACAAAAGTATTGTTTCAATAGTGATCTTCTACTATCTCATGATATTAAACTAAGACAACTTTTTATTGCATCAAGAGTTATTTGGATCAATGGAATAAAATATAACATGTCAAAATACAGATTGTATTTGTTGGAATGATTTTCCTTGGTAAATTGAACTCAATGGATTTCCTACTTTCCAAACATTTCATCCCTGTAGCCATTCCCAAGTCTAAATGACCAGGAAGCTCACAGTTCAGTATGTAAGTTTCCACCATCAACTGATGTCACTGATGATGGTGGTACAGAGGTCGCTGGTGGCTGTACCAACGTGGGAACTTCTGGATGCTCACAATGCCCAAAGAGAAACTTCCATCATGGAGAGGTAATGTTTGGGCCACACAGGGCCAATATTTCTGTGCAAAACATTTTAATAATTCATTATCAGTTCAGTGCATCGAAAGGGAAAGCAAGAGAAGTAGATTTGTGAGGGCCTCCCTTCAAAGAGCCAACACTCTTCTTCTTCTTCAAAAAATGTATATACACACCTAGAGAATAATACAACAGCCACAGAAGATAAAGCAAAGTTTTGGAGTCTTGTTTTAGGTGGGGTGAGTAGGTGTGAAGAGAGCAAATATCCTGGCAGTGGAAGGCCTGTTTTGTAAAGGAGGCTCAGCTGGAAGACAACATCAGTGTCTAACGCCCCAGGCTCTGCTCTGCGGGTGCTCTGCGAACTGTCCTGCCCTCCTGCTTCTGAGACTGACTGTGGCCTTTCTCTCAGCCCTCCTGTGTTGATTTCCCCACCCCCTGGTTTTTCCCCTTTGCTTGGGGACTTGATTCAGATCTGTGTTGCTGACCACATATTCACCTCACCTTGTGCTCATAACTCTGAGTTTTCATCCCAGGGAGAAATCTGATTTTTACTGCTTATTATGGTGCCCGGCTGATTAGTTGGGTGGTCTGGGCTCCAGCGTTCACCCAACACTGTACCCCCAACCCTGTTTAGAGGCTCATTAAGGAGGATCTGAGCTTAATTCTTGATAGCAGAAAAGAGACTTACCTTTTAGGTCTGAGAGCAACGTGAAGAACGATAGATCTTGATCTGGTGGAGTTACTTAAAGTGACTTTTCTTGCTTGCAAATTTGTCTATCATTGAACAGGAGATTGTAGTTACCATCTGGTCTTAACACATTATTTAACATATGGGGAGAATATTGTTCAGGAGGGCCACGTTTTTGCAGGAATTCACATGGTTAAGTTAGTGGTGGACTTAGCCCATGTGCTCAGTTCTTTTGCAAGGTCCCAATCTCCCTGCACTTTGCCTGCTCTGGTTTTGATTGATGCCCCAGTGAAAATATATCTATTCTGAGTTGTGAGGGTGGCCATTCTTTTGCTCCTCCTGCGAGCTTCCTTTTTAGTCAAGGCCTAGACACTGTGGTGCAAAGAGGTGACATTTGGTGACCATTGGTGCCCCTTCTGTTTCCCCAGCCCTTGTGCTCAATGTCTGGTTCCTCTTGGCTTCCAGGAGCTGCCACACTGGATACCCAAACTGGGGTTTCCCTCCTGAGACTGGGGCCCACATTTTCTAGCAGTAAGACATACTCCAGTCCTTTAAGATAGCAGTTCTGTGCTCCCTTTTCCTACTTCCTTGAACTCAGTCATGAACGAGTAAGTGACAATGAACTTATCAATAACCACAGATTTCCAAACCAAGCAAGTGCTGGGCATTGCACCAAGTGCTTTATATACATTATTATCTTATTTAATCCTTACAATTATCCTTTCATACAGGTATACTTTTTCTTATGAAGAAATAGAGGCTTGGGACATTAAGTAGAGTGCCAGATATTAGCTCGTTTCTAAGAGTCAGAGATAAAATTAAGCCTTGAATCTTTAGCATTCAAAGCTCTTCGTCACTGTGCCACACTGCTTCTGATAGAGAAAAAATAATTTAAAAAATAAAATTGTAAGCTCTTTTTAATTCTTCCCCTGAAGACTACTGCGGTAAGTATTGTTCACCACTTTAGAGATTAAGAAAAACCTCAAGACTCCTAGAGGCTGGCACAGTGGCATAGTGGTTAAGTTTGTGCTCTCTGCTTCCACAGCCCGGGGTTCCTGGATTTGCATTCTGAGTGCGGACTTACACACCACTCATTAAGCCGTGCTGAGGTGGCGTCCCACATACAAAATAGAGGAAGATTGGCACAGACATTAGCTCAGGGCGAATCTTCCTTAAGCAAAAAGAGGAAGATTGGCAACAGATGTTAGCTCAGGGCCAATCTTCCTCAAAAAAAAAGCCCCTCAAGACTCAGAGGAGTTAAGAATCTTGCTTTAGATCTCAGAGGTTCTGGATTTAAACTTAAATGCGACTCCAGAGCTTACACTCCTTTCTGTGGTGTTGCCTGTCCAATAATGCTCATAAAAAATATTTGCTGCATCAGCAGTAGCATAACCATCATCGTTATCATCACCATCTCACAGATCTTTACCTAGCATTTACTACACGGCAAGCTGTGTTCTACCACTTTGCACATATTATCTTATGTAAGACTCATAAAAATTCTGTGAGGGAAGTTGTCTCATCATCTTGATTATGCAGCTGAGGACTCACAGGGTCAAGGACTTGAATTAAATTGCCCAAGCTCACACAGCACTCTAGCTCTGGCATCCATCATCTAACTTCAGCCTCACACTTGCACAGTGCTTCATAAGTTGCAAAGCTATTTTATTTACACTAATCTTTATGTTAGTCCTATAAGTCTTTATTACCAGCATCTTACAGATGTGAAAATATGTACTCAGAAAGGATAAGCAATTCTCCAACTGAAAATAGCCAACAGGAACTAGACTCCAACAAGGGCAGGCTCAGCCCGAATTTCATGCTGCCAGATAGTAGTCTGAGTTGAAACATATATCAATTGAACCTACAAGCCACACTACGTCAACGGAAGAGCCACTTGTATTGAACCCAGAATTGTTACTCCTCCAATGGAAACTACAGCTACAAGAGGAACCACTACTTTCACCTGAACCAAAAACCACCAAACTGAATCTACAGGCTACAGTCATCACCAGAAATGTATTCCATTCGCTACCATTATCATATCCACTGAACAAAGTACCTCCACAACCACTGCTACCAGGTTAACTGAAACTGCAACTAGCAAAGCCTTACCTGAAACTACAACTACCACAATTTCTACTGGGCTGATACTAAAACATCCATTAAAAGTTCATTGGAACCTGCAAATATCAATTTCTACTGAATGAGAACCATAATATCCATGACAACTCCTTCAGCTAAACTTAATACCACAGCATTCAACGTGGTTTTAACTGGACTAGAAATCATCATCATACCTGCTGAACATAAGACCACAATATAAAAAACAATAATAACAACCAACACCACTTTAACTAAACCTACGACCACCATACCTGCCACCACTTCAGTTGAATTACTATCATAATAGCTGACATTACCACTTGGCTGAAACCAATACCCAACTACCACAATTTCTGTAAAAACCTATCAACAGCTACTACAATTTTAAATACATTTATAGCCATAACAGGAAATACCACTTCATCTGACCCTACAACCACATTAGGAAATACCACTTCAGCTAAACCCACAAGCACTATAACTTCTACTGGTCCTACTACTACACAGTTACCATTATTACTACCATTTCAATTCAGCTCTCTACCAATAGTAGTACAGCAAGTGAACATTGTACTTACCACTACTTCAGCTAAAATGTAACTATCACAATGTCTGCTGAATCCACCACCATCATCATGTCAAATTAAGCTACATCTACCACTTCAGCTGAGCCTACAATTTCCATAGCTACCACCATTTCAACTGAACATACAAGCCACAGTAGGGACCAGCACATCTGCTGAGACTACAACCAGTACAACCACTATCCTCACTTCCAGTGAATCTTCTAATGTAAATGCTAATGCCACAACTCACAGCAACTACACTACAGGGCCTCCTACCTAGCAACTCCTTCTTTAATTACTACCTGATTTTGTTACATCTAACCATCCCCACAGTTGCTCATACCCTAAATTTGAATCTACAAATGTTATCACAGGTGATTGGCTAACAGCAATATTTCATTGGAGCCTGTAGCAATAACACTAAAACTACTCCAACAATTGACAATTTAGCCATTACCCACGCACCAATGCCACAACAACCAAATTCACTTCCTTTGTCTTCTATACCTATCAGATCTCCATTTTATTAGGAATGATATGTTGTTTTGTAAGAGTTTGACAATTTTTCTAAACTTTTAAGTCATGCATTTTTTTTTTGTTTTGAGGAAGATTAGCCCTGAGCTAACGTCTGTTGCCAATCCTCCTCTTTTTGCTGAGGAAGACTGGCCCTGGGCTAATATCTGTGCCCATCTTCCTCTACTTCATGTGGGACGTCGCCACAGTGCGGCTTGATAAGCAGTGCCTTGGTCTGCACCCAGAATCCAAACTTGTGAACCCTGGGCAGCTGAAGCAAAGCGTGCAAACTTAACTGCTACGCCACAGGACCGGCCCCTAAATCATGCATTTTTCCTAAAAAAAGACTCAAATCTAGGACCACTCTCCAAGCAATTTGGTGACACACAGGGAAATCCTTATTAATATTTTTGGTATTCATTACCAGCATCATTTTTATTTTTATAAAAGTAAATGGTCCATCAGTGGGAATGCAGTCAAAACATTTTGTTCTTTAGTACACTAATTCTCTGTCTATTCAATCATACGTTATGTGAGAATGTTAAATACAGTTACATGGAATAATTTTTAAGTACTACATTTTGTTTTCTTTATGTGTAAAATTATTTTATTTTCATAATTTTTCTCTAGATTATTTTTTTGTTTAGCACTATAATTGCTGGAAGAATTATTTGCTACTCTTTCATTTACCAAGTGCCTGTCTCCCAAAATAGTGAAGAAAATACAGAAGAAATAACAGTGCTGAAATAATTACTAACATAATTAGTTTGAACACTCTTTGTTTAGAATTCCTGGATATTGAGAAGGTTTAAATTGATTTTGATGTTGCCTGGGCTCCATCAAGGCATATTATATCAGAACCAACAGGAGTGGGCCAGAAATGGTTATTTATAAGCACCTTCACAGAAGATTCTAATGGGTCATAGGATTTAAGAGTCATGTGTCCAGTCAATAAACCAAGGAGAGCATTCTGACACGTTATATCTTATTGGTAGGTTTGGTGAAATCGATACACTTATAAAATATTTTTTTAATCATAAAAGGAAAAATCAATTTTAAAGACAAGAAAACATGAAATAAATTAATATCAACTTTAATCTAATCTATGAAGAAAAGATTGCTAGGAGGTATATAATCACATAGGAAGGAAAGGTTCACCTAGAAAAAGGAAAAAAGTATTTTCAAGCAAAAGTTTAAAAGATATATTTCAATAGCCACTATGTTAAAAATAATTATTTTTTAATAGTTCTTCCACGTAGCTCCACAAGAATACTTTTTGAAAAATTCTGCAAGCAATTGTAATAATGTGTAAATAAGTGTTAAATGGAAATCCTTTAATTTCTATTTTATTAGTATAAATTGCTGTGTTACTAATACAAATGTAATGGAAATGATGCAAGCTATTTGAATCAGTGATGTTACAGTATACTTTTCTATTTCTATCAAAAAAGAAGTACACTTTCCAACTTTTAATCCCTGTTATTAGTCAGGAAGACAAATATGCTGGAACTGTTTTACCTGTTAGAGTAACAGTAACTTTCCCCTAGACTTACACACAGTCAGTGCTCAGTAAATATTTATCTAAAAATTGGTTGAATGAATATTTTAAGCTCTGGAACACCAATCAATAAAATAATCAGCCAATATATAAATCATCAATTATTTGTTCACAAAAAAGGCTTTGAGCTTCTACCATGTACTAAGCGCTCTCCTTGGCACATATTCCATTCTCCAAAACACCGCTTTCCCTCCCCTTCCCATCTCTTAGATCTACATGTTCTCCCAAACTCAGATCAATCCTGCCTCCTCCACTGAGCCCTGCTCATCTCCCTTTTGAGCTATTTCTTCTCTGACCTCAGACCACTTTCATTTTCCACCCTATTCATTTTTACACACAGGTTACCCTACCTGTCATTATTCATATTTTCGTGTGGCTTATCTTCCCAACAAAATGATAAATTTTTTGATAGTGACCTTTGTATGTTTTTAACCTTTCCTTGAAAATTTCCAAATACTCATATAATTGCTTGTTATCCAGCTTTAACAACTATCAACACTGTTTTATACCATGTTTCGTTTACCAATTTACACTTTTAATCTGCTTGAGCATTGTAAAGCAAATCCCAACTATTATGTCACTTAACCTTTAAATAGTTCAGTATGCATCTCAAAATTTAAAAAGGATATTTTTCTTACATAATCAAAATGCTATGCTATGATCTCATCTCACAAAATTAACAGTAATTCTTTCTTATTTTTTAATTGAAGTATAATTTATATCCAATGAAGTGTATAAATCTTAAGTGTGGGCTCAATGAGTTGCTTTACCTGTTTATACATCCACATACACACCAACCAGATCAAGACCTAGAACATTCATATTACTAAACAGGCTCCCTACTGCCTTTCCTAAGTCAGTATTCCACCAAGTGTCACCACTATCTGGCTTCTATCACTTCTAGATTCAATTTGCCTATTTTTAAGCTTCATGTAAGTAGAATCATACAGTATGTATTCTTTTGTGTCTGGCTTCTTTAACTCAGCATTATGTCTGTGAGTTGTGTAGGGTGTCACGATTGTTTCAGGGCCTGATAGACTAAATGCCTGACCATGGGACACCAAGTAACTATGTGACCTGAGCTACCTGCGATGAACAGATCTGCCAAGTCATGAAGCTGGGCATGTGCAGCAGTACACCTTTAAGAGGAGGTACCACACCTGTCCCAGGCTTCAGTGAGCATAGACATGCCATTTGGGCCCTCTAACCCAGCAGCTCCAGTGGAGCCCCAGGAGATGGTGGAAGACTGAGACACAGAATCTAATCTCTGGTAAGCCCTGATTAGAGAACCCAGGGTTTTGGAATAAAACATGTCCTATTCTGCAAATAACTATTCTCCATTTGGGACAGCTGCAGTACCTTCTCTTGAAAGTGTGCACTGCTTCACTCACCCACCTTCAACGACTTGGTGGATCAGAAAAAAACCCATTCAGTTTGGCAGGCTAATGGATTACTTGATAAATGAGTCAGGGAAACACACTGAAAAATAGTATATGTTGCCTCCAAAACTCAAAAAGGCCCACCAAGCAATACACTACCGACTTAATGGACGTGGAGGGTAAAAGATAACTTGCCCATCATTTTAGAGTGTTATCTTATGTGCATTTTCCCAGCTTATAGGGGGCAGTGTCCACAGAGCTTTCCAGGGATGGTGTTGCTGCCTTCACTGTATTTTTCACCGCGTGATAAAGGGCTTTTCCTCTGGGTCCTCCCAAGGGAGGCAGTGACGGGATGGGTGATAAACTCACATACAACAAATCCAGTGCACCGTATGTAGTCCTAAGCCTTCGGATTTTTAACGTATTTTTTATACTATATTAAAGAAGTTGTGTCATTTTAGCTCCATTAAACACAATCCACCACTGTCCAAGTTTTATGCAACTGAATGAGCAAACTGTTAGAGCTACTCTAAGCCCCTCAAGCTAACACATTCGAGTCCACAACCTTGGTAGGTGCGCCCATATCATCACGTTTGGCCCAATCCAATGCTATGATCCTTTCTCTCTGGACCTGCACCCTCAGAATATATTCCCACATGTATTTCCTATCCCTCTGTCAACATTATTTAGCTGTGTAATCCCACTTTCTGGGAGTTATTCCCTAGAAAATATCTTGAAATATAGATAATAACACCTTCCAGTCTTACTCATAATTGAAGACATACAACAATCTCGAGAGGCGACGTCAGGGGTCAGGTTAGCTCAGCTATGTCACACACGACATAATGTCACACCCGACATTGACATTAAATGTGATGTTGTAGAAAAGATTTTAAATTACTGGGGCAAATGCATACACTAAAATGTTAAACGAAAAAGAAGATTTGATATGTATCATGTGTGTGTATAATGTGACCATAATTCAAAAAATGTATGACAAAAAGACAGAAGCTTTCTGAGTCCTGTAGCATGAAAACAACAACCCAGTTCTGAATCTCCCCACATTTATTTCTAAAATCCATCCAAGCAAAAAAAAAAAAGAGTAAACAAAGCAAAAATCGCTGCAACAAACATTGTGTAACTCAGAAATAAAGAAAGCCCACAAATTCCAACTTACATGTAAGCAGGGTGAAAAAAAGCGGGAAATCCACAGAATATTTTTTATACCATATATGGTAGCAAAATTAAAAATTTGACAACTCTAAGCATTAGTAAAAATGAAAAAATGAGAATACTGTTACAGAAGTGAATATTCAGGCAACCTTGGAAACAATTTTGGTAATACGTGTTAGAAAACATACACCTGATGATCCAGGAATTTCACTCTTAATTATACATCTAGAAACATTTTAATAAGTGTTCCCAAGAAGGCATATACTAGAATATTCATAGCATCATGATTTACAATAGAAAAAAATGGAAGCAAACTCAAATTATATTAACAGGAGAATGAATTAATAACTGTGATGTATTCAATCAGTGAAATAGTATAAAACAGTGAAAATAAATGAAATACAATTACAGGTATCAGCATAGTTGAATTTTGTCAATGTAATCTAGGTCAATAAAACCAATATTGTGGAAAAATACAGTATAATAGGTTTCGTATATATTTTAAAACATGAAAACAATATTATATATTTTTGGAATGCATTAAAACATAAAAAATTTATGGGAAATATAATTGAGGGAGGAGAATATGATCAGGAATAAGGACAGAGGTGGCTCTATATGCAAAATTTTTTATCTCTGTGGTGTCACTGAGATGTTTGGTCTTTGTCCCCAGTGTCTGACACAGAGCTCCTGAATCCCTTGTGGTTTCCTGAGTGATGGGGGTGATAGGAGTGTCTTGTTATGACAAGGAGACTCTTAGCCGGCCCCTGCATAACTTCAGGATGGGAGCTGGTCAGCAGAAAAACCAAACCTCGATTAGAAGCCTGGAACTTTCAGCCCCACTCTCCAAACTCCAGGGAGGGGAGAGGAGCTGGAGACTGAGTCAAAAATCCATCATGCCTATACAATGAAACCTCCATAAAGCCCCTAAATGATAGGGTTCAGAGAGCTTCAGAATTGGTGAACACACCCACATGCCAGGAGTGTGTTACAGCCCAACCCTGTAGGGACAGAAGCTCTTGCACTCATGATATTTCTAGACCTCGCCCCATGTACTTCTTCATCTGGCTGTTCATTTGTACCTTTTATAATATCCTTTATAACAAACTGGTAAATGTAAGTAAGTATGTTCCTGAGTTCTGTGAGCCATTCTAGTAAATTATCAGACCTGAGGAGGGGAACCCCCCATTTATGGCCAGTTGGTTCAAAGTACATACATGTGGTTGGTCTGACTCTTGAGATTCGTGTCTGAAGTTGGGGCAGTTTTGTGGGACTGAGTCCTTTAATTCATGCGATCTGAAGCCAATCTGAATTGAATTGTAGGACATCCAGCTGGTGTCCGAAGAGTTGGAGAACTGGTTGGTGTGGAAAATACCCACACATTTGGTTGCAGAAGTATAGTGAGTGAAAACAACCCAGAGTCTCTAAAGCTGAGAAATGATGGGGATTTGGCTATTTACCAGAGTATTCTTTATACCTTTTTGCATATTTGAAATATTTCTTCATACATTTTGTTAAACAGTGTGGCTGGGGCATGGTATATGATATGTGAAATAGTACAGGATTATGATTCAGAAGTGGGTGCAGACTGGTAAGTTTAGAGGCTTGTCGGCTGGGGAAAGGATTTGGGATTTTGTCCTAAGAGGAAGGGGAAGCCATTAAGGGATTTTAAGCAGGATAGTCACATAAGCAGATGGACATTTTGAAAGAGCATTCTGGCTACTTTGTGAAGAATGAATTTGAGGGTGGCACACACGGAAGTTGGAAGACCAGTCACACGTGTTCCTCCTTGGGGAGATGACAGGATCATTACTCATATTTCAGCATAAGTACCAAGCAGGGGACATAAAAGGCAGCCAACAATATGAATAACAGCGTTATAACTGGAATTAATTCAGGGATCATCATAAACTCTCCTTTTTACTGGCACTAGTGGCTACAAAATTAGTTATTCCAAATATAATTTTCACTGATTTTCTTACACAAAATACTACTATTTTGTTCACTCTCAATTCATATTTAAAGTTCACATCCTGACATTTACCTTTCCCCTTTGTCTGTTTGGTCTAACATCTCTCTGTTTCCATTATAGCCTCACATTGCATCCAGATGGCTCTTCATAATGTCCCCCAATGCCTTGCTTCTTTCCGCTTCTCCGTGTGTGTCTCAGCTGCTGTCCTCTACAATTTCTCATCCCTCCTCTCTACCCATCCAGGTGCATGAGGACCTTTAAGATCTGGATCAGAACTTGCCTTTTGCAAACCACGACCCGCTTCATCCCTCACAGATCACTGCCTTGGCTTTTCTGATATGTCGAACACTAACCCCCGTGGGTTTATTCTCAGCTTCACTTCACTACACTGACTGGCTGCCCTCTTCCCACCCGCTCCTCAAAGCTGACTTTGCTGTAGCCTCCTTTGGTCCTGCCTCAGTTACCATCGTTGTCCCAGATCCAAACCTGACTCAGATAGAAGTTCTATGAAGTGCTTCAGCCCTATATAGCTCTCATCGTTTACCACCCACCCTCCACTCCAAATGAGGTTGGTGAAATAAGCAAAGCCCTGCCTTTGGACTCTGGGACTGCTGGGTCCTACACTGTCCACTGTACCCCAAGCAGGGCAGTAATGTCGCTCTGCTGAGCACTTGAATCTTATTCTAATCCCAGGTTTAGAGTTGACCCCAATTCCCCATAGGAACCCATTTCTGGTATTCTAGTTGTGGTTCTGGACCTTGCAAATCCCAATTTCTCTCTTTGCTCTGCTTTGTAGACCTGAGGTTTTCTTAAATTTCCATTCCCACTTCCCATTCTAATAACCAGTCTATTTGCTGCAATTGCTTAATGAGGCCTGGAGCCCCGCCTTATTCTTTTTGCGCCCATCTCTGTGGACTGTAGTCCCCTCAGTGAACCTTAGCTCCCAGATCTAGGGCCCTACTGTCCTCAAAAAGATATGGTCTGCTAGGCTGCTTGGTGACTCTCCGCTCTGTGAACCTCTGAGATGCTGTAGTCCGACCACTTGTCGGATGGTTGGATAGAACGTTCAGGGTGAGCAGGAATGATGAGCCATGTCTCCACCCCGGGAGTTACCAAGTCCTTGCTGTTCTTTGGTGGATTCCAGCAGTCTGTGTCCTTGTGGGCAGGTTTAATTCTGGGCAGCAGCACCACCCTGCCCTTGCTTCCAGTAAACATCTCTAGTTCCGTGATGCACCCCGACACGTCACCAGAGTCTCTAAGTGTTCAGTAGTTGTATGGTCTTTCCAATAAATTTAACCTCCAAATTATCTTTCATCTTTTTTCCTCATTCTTCTTAGGGCACAGGGTGGTACACGTTAGAAAATTAATAAATGGCTACAGATAATAAATGAATGAGGAGCCTGAACTCCACATATTCTACTCTTAACTTGGATTTATAAAAGGTCACTTAGAGAACATGTGTCTCATCAGGAAAGTAGGGATAATAATACTTAATTCTTGTAGGTGTTACAAGGATTAGCTATGAGCAGTGTGGTACACCCACTAGCATGGGCGTAAACATCTATGTAATGTTAAAAAAATGATGCTAATCAGATCTTATATCAGAGCTGTCCAAGGGTAGCACGTTTGCTATGACCCAGCAATGGTTGAAGCTTTGCTTTTTATTCTTCTACTCATTCACATTTTAAAAATTCCAGTTGCAAGAGTCAGTTTACCAACTGAAGGCTTTATGAAGTAGTTTTTCAGAGCAATAAGAATAAGGGAAGATATGTTAGTTGTCTTTAAAAAAATGTAAAATTTCTACAAGACCATAGTCCCTCATATGAAGTGCTTGGGTGAGATGTGTTTCATAATTCAGATTTTTAAAAATTTTATAAAGGCAGTATGATATATGATGCAACACTCCCAGCAGGACTGTGGCAGTAACCCTGAAATAGACATTAATATTTTTGTAGTTAAACACATGAATAATCATGCTACATTTATTCAAGACTAAAAATAGCCTTATTAATTTGGATTAACTTTTGCTGCCAAGTAAATTTGTGTGAAATGTATAAAATAATTTTCAGTTTTCAAAGCCTTTTGGATTTTGGAATTGTGCTTCAGGGATCACAGACCCATATTCTGAAGAAAAAATGGTTTCATTTTGGGTGTCTCCAGACGTGGCAGGACCAGTGTAAGTTAACAGAAGAAACAAAGAAAATTTTGGCTTGATAGAAAAAAGAACTTTCCAACAGTGAAGATCACCCAAAAATGGAATATCAGCCCCTAGAAAAGTCATTAATTCCCAGTCCCTGTGGTCACACAGAGATGAATTAGGCAGTTGCCCTTTATTGTGTATAAGCTGATATATTTACCATTATGGAAACAATTTCCCAACATACAAAAAATGCATACCTTTAAATAAATAAAAAAAGAATGTTCTCTTTGTTTAAACAAAAATATTACATTTTAAATGAATTTGAAAGTTAATATCAAAAGCCAAGCATTCAATACACAAAGACTAGAGTGTAAGCAGTTCTGTCTGTCTCGATCAAGGCTGTCTGGATATCCAGGTTCAAGACACGCCTGGGGTGTGTTAGGTGCTTAATAAACAGTCGGGAATAAATTAATGAAAGAACATGATCTGTCAGTATAAATATTTTTAAAATTTGTAAATACATTTAAAATTTGTAATTAGGAAATTCAATGATATGCATCAAAACATATTTTTCTTCCTGAAGTTTCTATTTTAAGTAGGGCTAATTATTATAATCCCATTGTATTACTGAAATACTTTTAAATTACTTTTGATTTAATGAAGGAACACCTGCTATAGGAATTGGCTCAGATTTGAAAAAGAATACAATAAAGAATACCCTGATAATGTTATGAAAACAAGATATAAAAGACATTTGCAGAATATTTCCGTTTTTAATTTTAATTTTACTTTTAATTATTGCTTCTAATTGCTTTGATAATAAATTTGATAGGGCACTTTAAAAATTTATTTTTCAGTTTCTAATTTTTTCACAATGATCTTTCATACTGTTAAATCAATTGGGTTGAATGTCAGTGTTTTACTTAGGGTTTGAAATTCTGGGTCGGATTGCTTGGTTATCATATAAATAACACAATGAGAAACAAACTGTAATAGTCTCTTTCCCTAAAATATTGTCTAAGATCAGAGGGCTGAAGCTGTCATATTGGCTCTCAGGTCATCAACTGACTAAAGAAATAATAGTCAGAGCATAGTGAAATTTCAGGCAAGAAAAATTTGTTTGAGTAACATGATTTAAAAAAAAAAAATTACTTTTGACTTACCCTTTCAGACAACAATGCAATTCACTTTCTTTTAAATGAATGAGAAATAGACATTTTTTCCCCCTAAAAACTGGCCAGCTATCAAAGAGTTTTCTCAACTCCTTGTCAACCAACAAGACTTTCAGATGTCTTTTTGGCTATAAATCCTGCTCACAACAAAGATCTTTCTGACAGGGCAATGAGAGATACCCATGTTCTCAGTTCATTGTAACAATTCAGGTGTGTTCTGTTTCTTCTGTTGACCTTTGGATGAAGAAATTTACGAGAATTGTTAATAATACATGCTGAGGAATTGTTCTTTGCAAAATGAAGAAAAATTTGATTTTTACATGGTAAATTTAGCCATAGAGCAATGTGTTGTTTAATGTTGTTACTATTTTTTTAAATTTTTAATATTTCCTATATTTTCTTCCAACCTTTGTGACTGAGTCTTGTGATTATTAGGCCAATTAGATTGTGAGCATGAAATTCAAGTAATAGAGTAAATTTTTACTCTTCATGCCATTGATTTGACATGTGGATGCTGTCAAAAATGGTGAAGTTTTACTTACACCATGGTTATGTTGCTCTAGTACCAAATAAATATCTCTGCAGAATAAAAGTGTAGTAATATTTTAAAGCAAATATAGTTAAATTTATACCACTTTTTTTTTGATAATTCTGATCATTCATTCTGATTTCCAAATAAATCTGTTCATTAGAAGATCATGTTTAATATTATTGACACCTTCAACCCATGCGTGTCCCTGGTGGCCCATGGCCATACAAAGGCATTTGGTTTTGTTTCAACAGGAGCAAGAGTAAGTCAACACGTTTTTAATCCTCTTTAGAACAAATCTCTTCCCGTTTTCAATTCTTTGACAGTTTTTCCGTGTTCTTTATGTTCTAAGGCGTGAGGCTATATCATTTCAGTTGATCTGGTAAAATTCATTAAGCTGAAAGTGGTGAATACATTTATAAGAGAAATGTCAAAGAATTGAACTTGTGAAAAAAATTCAGAATCAAAAAGTGTTAGATAGGGGCCAGCTTCGTGGCATAGTGGTTCAGTGCGCGTGGTTCGCTGCTGGCGGCCCAGTTTCGGATCCTGGGTGCACACTGAAGCACCACTTGTCAAGCCATGCAGTGGCGGCATTCCATATAAAGTGGAGGAAGATAGGCACAGATGTTAGCCCAGGGCCAGTCTTCTTCAACAAAAAGAGTAGGATTGGCATGGATGTTAGCTCAGGGCTGATCGTCCTCACAAAAAAAAAAAAAAGAAAAGTGTCAGATACAAAGAGGATGGAGTGTCATTTGTCTTGTTTGCTACTCAAAAACACCTGGCAAGTTTTAGAAACTCAATATTCTCTCTTGTTGAGTAAATAAATCAATAAGAGAGTTAATCCTTTTTCAATTTGAGTCAATTTAAATTTCTTGACAAAAGAATCTCTTCCTGAAGGTTTTCAATATTCTATCACACCTTTGGCATTAATGCCTAGGAAACTGGTTCTAATTGTTTTTAAACGCATGTGAATTACTAAGCAACTGACCATGTAGACTTCCAGCCACCAACCTCAAGACTGAAAAGGTAAAGCCAACCTAACGCCAAGGGTGACTAAGCGATGGTGCCCACAGGGCCAAGAATGCATTCATGCTTGGCTGGAGAGAGAGCAATGACAAACTTCTACCTCAGAAATTTTTCTTGGCTTGATCCTAAAATAGATGACAGGTATCTGAAAGATGGGGCCAAAGGGAAGAAAAGGAAGAACTATGTAAGATTTTCAGAGTTCCTTTCTGTCAGAAGGGTTGTTGAGGGGGTAGTAACAGTAGCTCTCAGAGGCAGTATTGGTTTTTTTGTGTCTTTCTGTAATTAACACCTCATTTCCTCCTCTAAGGTGGGTCCGTATTAGTGAATAATTATTTATTATTTAGTTTAATCCACACCTGCCCTAATGCATCAGAGTTGATTTTCCACCAGTCATTTTAATTATTTCTCAGGGTTGCAAATATAAAGGGCAACGAACGACCTGAAAAATATTCTTGGAGTTAAGCTTATAGTATTGCAAGCTTAAGAATGGACAGAAAGCATGGAAAATATGTAGTGAATATTGAACAATCTGGGAACCAGCCAGTGAGTATTGTTGCTCTATTTTACTATTTTGCTTATATTACAGTCTTTTTCCAGCGTTTGAAAGCAATCTAATGTCTTTACTACTATGAAATCGATGTTATAATTTTGCATTCTTCTCCAAAAGGAAGAATAGCCATGTATTAATTTTTTTGCTTCAACTTTTCATGCTATATTATACTTTAGAAATTATTTTACCTATTTCTGATATAAAGCATTAGAAATATTTCTATGACGACATAATATACAAATAAATCCATTTAACTTTCCATATGCATCATCATGTAAACATAAACCTCCGATGGTGTCTTCGGTTTAGTTTTGAAGTTACATTTTTGCAATTTGATTATTAGATTTTATACATAATTTCTAAACTTGTCAGAACTCAGATTTCTAAATATATTGGAAATCCAGATATTAACCCTGGATATTGTCTTTAGGACTAAGAAAGAAATCCTCCAAAAATTTCTACTTTGTATAAAAGTATGATCATTTTGCCTATTTTAAAATGTTTTACACCAAGAGTCAAGCCTTCACGATATAGTTATAAGTGCTTTTTATGTATCTGGTTATGTCTAAACAAATAATCTTTGATATCAGAACAAAAGACGGAAACGTGCCAAAAATTAAAATGGTAAGTTAAAATTCACCACCTGAAGAATAAATGAAATATTTTGCCTTTGCAATTTGGAGCTGTGGCAATCAGCCTATATTAACTGCCTACAAGATAAGCCAAAGAAGGAAGTCCTGTTGCTCAGTGTTAGTTTAATGAAAGAATCCTATGGAGGATTCTTGGTTCACCAGTTTGCCCTTTTGAGTCGTTGTACAAAAAACTCTCGTAAAGTTTTCTTTGTCACTTCTGAGTTTGACACTGTATAAGAGGATCTTCAGGATGCCGAGATACTCAGATGGAAAACAAAATACCCCTTTGGCCAATATTCATCATCTCAATAATTTCTCTAGATAACAACAAACTTGAAAATGTTTACGAATATTATCTTAAGTTGTTTTTACAACGTATATCTGGATAGCTAACTGAATATTTCACTTTATTATGGATATTTAAGTCACAGTTATAAAAATACTTTTAAGACCAAATTCAATAACAGAATTTAAGAATTATTTGAAAATTACAAACAAAAAGAAAATAAATTTTGGTGTTTTGTTTTTCTCTTGAGATATATGAGATCTTAAGTTAATCTTTATAAGTTAGGGGAAAACCTATAGAAGTTTCCTTGGTACACATAGATAATGCACTTCAGTTGCCTGTGGCCATTATTAGCTGATGCTGATTATCTGATTAAACATTATTCACAGCTCTCCAACTATTCCAGTTTTGTACAGAGACTCCACCTGTCCTAAGTGTCAGAGCAACCTAACACTGTAAAAATTACTGCTTGGGCTGCAATATCACTCTAAAGCTGAGCCTAGATCATAGGTTCTCCACCCTTAGTATAGATGCCACTCATCATCTTCCTTCTTTGAAAGTGCTGGGATTCCAACAGGGCCAGAAAATTCTGGAAAACTGCCCTGGTGAGTGAGTTTTTACTTTGTTTACAAAGTGCATTAAAATATCCAAGTTCGTCAGCTACAGGCAAACTGGGTGATAACTAAAGCAACAGAATCAGCACTTAGGAAAATAAGCAAGGTTGTTATTGAAGGTAAGTCCAACTTTCCTCAGATTTACCTGGTGAATACCACGGACTTAGTTGATTCTTACTCAACAACACATAGAGCTGTTTTCTTTATTTCTTTGATGTAACAGTTACAGAAATATCTAACTTAGCAAACTCTTTACTGCCAAGATTTTATCTATATTAAATAACAATCATATTTAATTTTGTATTGTTAATGATAGTTCCTAATGGACCAATGACTACATACAATTCTAGTTTGACAGTTTTTTGGAACTCATTGGTTGATGGGCCAGCAATTTTTATAGCTATTTAGTCGTGGGTTATTAAATCAACATGATCAAAGACAACTAGTATAATAGCAGTAGGAGTAAACACACTAATACTACTACTATACTACTATAATGATAGCTGACACAGTGCATACTATCTGCCAGACATTGTTCTAACCACGTAGCGGTTATTTACTCATTAAGCCTCACAGCAAATCTTCGCATGGGCAGTTTTAGTGTCCCCCCCTTCTGAAGATGAGCGAGAAGTGGTAGAGATGCCCTTGATTCACAGCTAGAAACTAAGTGTTATCATCCTGTGAGATGAAGAGCCCCAGACATCCTACATTATTGTTGAGATGTAACAAAACTTTTGGTGCAGACATAAATTCCTGAACCTATTCCCCTCCCATTTTCATTTTATCTTGTTCTTTCCTCTTTTAATACACCTATTCTTCAAAATCTTTCCCACTGAACTCCTCCATTTTCAATCCTTGTCATTCACTTTTCTCAACAATATTTTGCAATTATTGTATTTATTTGTTAATTATACACAATCTGTTTTGCCTCCCTGTTATATAAGCATATAAACTCCCTAAGAGTACAGACCGTTTTTCTTTTGGTGGTTGTTGTTGAGAACTGTTTTTACACTGCTATATGCTTAAGAGGAACCCAGCAAAGACATATCACAAACTGGACAAATGATTTGTCTTCTGTGTTCCTGTCATGGTCTTGCTAGTTCTATTGCATAGAGCACGGTATGGATTATGCAAAGGAGTCATTTTGTATGACAATTTTCATTAGTATAGTGTAGTATAGTATACACTATATTAATATATTATCATAGTTTAGTATAAAAATATACTCTATATAGTAAAGTGGAGTGGAAAGTACGGTGGCCTTAACACTGGAGAGTCTGGGCTCCAGCCCTTGCTCTTGTGTCATTATGGGTTAATGATAATAATAATAATAGTAACTTCACCTCTTTTTGCTTTAATATTCTCATTTCCAAAATGATCTGAACAGGTTGCACCTGATAAGCTGCAAGAATTTTTTCAGATCTAACATTCTATTCCTTATATGAATAGAGGCTTCCTAATATATGCTCCACCCACAGCATCTTGCAACATGGGATATTTAATACATGCACGTACTACGATGAGGAAGATAGGATGATATACATTCATGATCTGAAACATTGGTAACTTACAAAAATTAGTTTAAGTGTAATATGTAATAATCTGTCTAGATCTTTTTGTCTTCAGAAAATAAAACAACATTTATTCCTTTTAAAAGTCTTGTCTTTATTCCTTTTAAAAGTCACACTCATTTATTTTTGACTAAAGAGTTTTATTTTAGAAATTCAACACCATGGCTTCCTATTCACTTACACTTCATCTCTATAGCCAATCACCTGTTCCGATGACCAAGAGGCTCACAGCTCTGCATGCTGGCGTTCACCTTCAAACATAACCGGTGATGTCTCTTCCAACTTACGTGGGGTCTGCGTGAGTCCAGGAGTCCTTGTGCAGTCAGGATACCCACAGACAGAATTATGCAATACACAGGTAATGTTTGGTATAGCATCTTTCACCCAGGTTGGGATGTGCTCCATATGGAGATGTATTTGTTCTATTCTTTCCCAAGAAATGTATTCAAGCATTTAATTCACCTACATTCATGTTAAACATTTTCTGTATTCTCAGTGTAATTATAAGTAAGTCACCGTGAGGCAATTCACAAGAAGGAGAATATTCGATAGTCTCTGTTTTCAAAGAGCTAATGTTCTAGTTGAGCACTCAAATATTCACGTACAGAATATATATGAAAATAAAAGGAATAAATGTAAATGTAAAATGTAAAATGTAAAAGTAAAGTACAAATGCAATATTGGGGAGGGGCAGGGGAGCAAATATGTCAGCAATGTGAGGTTTAACTCATTAATTAGACTCCGATGGGAGACTGGGTAGTATGTAAATCTTCAAGGGTCCTACTCTATTGGTGATCACTTTATTTCTTACACTGTTCCAGTCTCTGAACCTGTATGCGGCACTCTCTGTAGCTCTCTTGGTTCTGACCTCTGGTGCATATGACCTTGACATAGAGACCTGGCTCTGTTCTCTGAATTTTCTCCACTAGCTTTGGAGACTAGACTCAGCTCTCCTTGGTTCCTGACCCTATCTGTTGGCTGAATTACCTTTACCTCAAGACTATATCTCTACATCTTCAGCCCTAATATAGAAACTTGGCCTTGACTATAAATTACTTATTCTGCTTGGCAATTTGTTTGGGTTCCCCTGACTCTGGAATTTCTACCCTCTATTGCTTAATCTTTCTGTAGATGTTCAGCAGACAGAATCTGAGCCTTGTTTCTTGATTCTGGAAAGGAAATATAAAGTGTTTACACTGTTTTTTGGGGCAATGTGAAAGAATGAATGAGCTCAATAGGGTGGAGTTAGAAAATGTTTCTTCTTGTTCACAGAAGTAAAGTAATTCATATTCATCCTAGAATTGAAAGAGGTCTTAGATAACGTCTAGCCTGGTGGTTCTTAGCCCTAGCTGCATATTAGAATTACTTATGGCTTGTTTAAGGCATACCAATGATTGAGCCCCATCCAGATCAATTAAATCAGAAATTTTGGAGGTAGGGTCCATGCATCAATATTTTTTAAAAGCTTCGGGTGACTCTAATGTGCAACCAGTGATGAGAATGAGTGATCTACTCCCCTTCCATCATTTAACAATCAGGGAAAATATGGCCCAGAGAATCTCAGAGACTTGCCAGAATTTACATAGCTTCTGCTAGAAGTAATTGAAACAGGAGAACTTAGGTATCCTATTGTCTGGTTGAGCACTTTATGTCAGTAGGCTGCTCTTTCACAATTTTTTTTAAAGGTAGTATTATAGACTCCTCCCAGATGTGCATAAGCCTTTTCGTCACTTTCCTTTCTTGAGACCCCTTGGTAGTGCCTTTGGTCAAGGTAAAGAAAATATTTTTTCTAGATCTAACTTGGACTTAGTGGCCCTCATTTTCCTGGCCTTGGTGACCCATGCCCTCATTCTACTCCTGCTGCCTTGGGGCTGCCACCCTTTGCACAAAACACTGGCCATCCAACAAATACTGTGGCCCATACTTTGTAATATTTAAGATCTACTCTCATCTGTCTGAAAGGCTTGAGTGTTGTACTACCTTCCTTGAGGGTCTTGCTCTCATCCAGGTGATAATGAAATAATCAATCATGTTGGACAATTGAAAATTTACATACCTGACACTGTACCAGGCACTGTACAAACATTGTCTTATTTTATCCTCTCATCTTTTTTATTAAAGTATTATTATCCTTATGAGGAAACTGAGGCTTAGAAAGGCAAAGTTGCCAAATTAATAAGTGACAGAGCCAAAACTCAAACCAAAATCTGTTGGACTCCAAAGCTCTTGATCTTAATTCCTAGACCATACTGCATACAAAATAAAAATATTTTTGAGAACTAGTAACCTTATTTATGTTATTTCTAATCTCCCCCAAAACAATATGAGATAGATATTCTTAACACTGTATTTAAAGATTAGGAGATTTGGGCTCAGAGAAGGTAAGAAATTACTTAAGATTTCATAGCTCTGAAATTTTAACATATCTCTCCAATTAAAAAGACTGCACTCTTCCACTATGCTTGTTGCCCATCTAAAAATAGTAGCACAAATATTTGCCAAAACACATTACAATTAACAAAGGAATTCAGTTTTGTTAATTCTTAAGGTAATCCTATAACCCACAAGTCATTTTGTCACCACTTCATAAATGATGATAAGGATTAATGAGAAAATAAGCAGGGCTTTGGCTTACCTTGTTAAAATGCACATCACTGGGAAGCTTCTAGGGAGTTCTCTTCACTGTGCACTTTTAGATATTAAGCCTGGGAAGGATATAATGCCCTCAAGTAGATTCTCTGGGTCCCTCTGGTCATACTAGGTCCCAGGCAACTACCTGCATGTTGGATAATAGGAATTTATAGAGGGTTAGTATCAGGAGTTGACTCATCTACCTGGTGATCAATATTACTTAAAGAATTGGGAATACTCTAAGAACAATTATGAAAAAACCTCACAGTGTATTATTCTTCTCCTGATAACACAATCACAGACCAATACTCAGGTATTGGGGAAAAAAACAGGTGCCTGAGGAGACTGTGCTGTGTTGAAGGTGGACCATGCTGCCTTCTTGGTGATGAATGGAGGATGGGAAAGGCATTCCCACTCAACAATACTGTTTGTGCCAAGGTCCTATTTTAGAAGTAGGCATTGAAGAAACTGAGTGTAGGCCAGTGTGGCCCAAGGCTATTGCACTAGTCCAAAGCAGATACAAAAGAAACTTGAACTAGAGTGGTATCAATAGAGAGAGAGAAGAGTCAACAATATTGGGAGATGTTTAGCAGATAAAGTCAACGGGGCTTGGTAATGGACTGGGAGATTTCAAAGATGATCCCTTTGCTCCAGCTTATGGAACTGAATGGAATGGATGGTGGTGCCATTTAATGAGATATGGGAGCTGGCCAGGTTTCACTGGAAAAATCATGACTTTGGGTTGGGATACAGTGAGCTTGAGGCATCTTTGAGACATCAAAGATGTGGTATCATGTAAGCATTTGAAGGTTGGAGGGGAGGTCTTAACTTGAGAGTCATTCAGATATAGACATTAATTAAAATCACGGGTGGGAGAAAGCATAGAGTGGCCAAATCCAGCCCATTGTCTATTTTTTTAAATAAAGTTTTTTGGAATACAGTCATGCTCACTTGTTCACTCACTGTTTATGGCTACTTTCACACTACAATGGCAGATTGGAGTAGTTGTGACAGAAACCGTATGGCTCACAAAGCTTAAAATATCTACTATCTGGCCCTTTACAGAAAAAGTTTGCTGACTCTAGACCTAGAATGAAAAGAGACAAGGGCCTGAGAATGTCAACAATAAAGGCTGAAAGTGGATAGTAAGCCTTCAAAGAAAACCTGAGAAGATGATTCTAGAGTGGGTGGGGGTTAGGAGGAAACCAAAGAGAATGGAATATCACAGAAGCAAAGGGAGAGATTGTTCAAAAGAGAGAAAGAGGAATGGTCTCCAGTGGCAAATGCCTCTAAGGGCTTAAGTAAAATGAGAGCTAAAATACTTCAATTAGATTTTGGTGAATGAATGTCATTGGTGACTTTTATTACGAGGTGTTTCAGTGACATGACAGAAGCAGAAGCCAGGCTGGGTTGGACTGAAAAATGTGCAAATGAAGAAGTTGAATTTAGACTACTCTCAAGAAATTTCATTTTCCAGAGAAAGAGAAGTCGGTAAAGGGGATTTGGAATCAAAGATTTTTTTGTGTATAAGATGGGAGAGATTTGAGTGTGTTTAAATGTCAAAAAGAAGAAGCCATTTAAGAGAAAAGTGGTGAAGTATTCAGTCCACAAGAAAGGGTAATCAAAGGAAAAGAGTTGCTGAGAAGGGCAGAGGCGATGGGATCCAAAGAATGGATTGGCAGATCGGCTTTAGCCGGAAGGAGGGGTAGCTCCTCTTGTGTCAATCAGGGAAGGGAGGTGGAGTCCAGGCTTGTTTAGATTTGCAGGTTTGGTAGCTAGTGGGGATTTGAAAGAGTTTCCATATGATGTTTCAAGTTTCCCAATGAAGCAGGAAGAAGGTGAATTCATTTGATGGGAATGAGGAGGGACAATTTGTGTGTGAGTGTTGGTGGGTGGAGGTTACAGGTTTGAGGAGAGAGAAGTTTGAGAAATATATTCAGAGAAATACAGTAGGATGGTAGAGCTGTGCAGAAAGTCATTCGAGGATGGACTCTGATCTGGCCAGGTGCATGACTTTCCCCAACTGTGTGGCTGCTCAAGAGCAGGTCCAGAAAAAACAGATAGCCATTTATCTGCCAGCTGGAGGAGACGCGGGAACTGCAAGAGATTTTAGGGAATTAGGAAGAGTGTAATTGAAATAATGGACCATAGAACAAAAGATGAACAAAGAGGGATGTGAGTGAAGCAAGGGCTGCTGGGCTGAAGGTTTCAATAAAAGTAAAGAATGGTCATTATGGGAATCATTGAATAAACAACCTGAAAGGAGAGGAGATGGTGGTTAGAGCACAGGACTCAAAGTGATTTTGGAAGTAGAGAGGTTTGGGGTAATGACAATGTCCAGTGGAGGATCAGGGGTATATGACAGAGAATTTACCATTAAAGTGCTCTTCTGCATACATGAAAAGACAAAGGGATCTGTACATATTAACTGAAAAAAGAATAAGAGAAAATGAGACTTTGGAAGATTTTTCTTTCTTCTAGTGTTAGAGAAAGCATGCAATTACTTCCACATGGATAAAAACCTGGAATTTAAGCCCATACTTCTCCAAAGATCTATAGTGATTCAAATGACTGTAATGCAATGTTATAAATAGCACCAAAGAGGTGATAAATGATAAGCATTTTTGTTTTTCATTGCTGACATTTTCATTTATACTTTTCTTAGGTGAAAGAAAATTGGTGCAATAACTGGTCTCTGTGGAAACTCTTTCTGGCTTGTCTCTTAGCCTGTGTGATAACAACAGCAATTGGAGTACTCATAATATGCCTGGTGAATAATAGAGGAAATGACAATTCCTCCATTGTTATTCAGCTACCCTCAAACAATGGGGAGCCTGTTGTTATCATTCCTGGAAGAACCTCTACTGCTTCTCAATCTACAGTGACCACCACTTCAACAGAACCGACAACTACAACCACTTCAACAGAATCAACAACCACTGCAACGTCCACTGAACCCACAACCACAACAGCCACAACCCTCACTTCAACTGAACCCACAACCACAGCAGCCACAACCGTCACTTCAACTGAACCCACAACCACAGCAGCCACAACAGTCACTTCAACCGAACCCACAACCACAGCAGCCACAACCATCACTTCAACCGAACCCACAACCACAGCAGCCACAATCGTCACTTCAACTGAACCCACAACCACAGCAGCCACAACAGTCGCTTCAACCAAACCCACAACCACAGCAGCCACAACAGTCACTTCAACTGAACCCACAGCCACAACAGCCACAACCATCACTTCAACTGAACCCACAACCACAACAGCCACAACCATCACTTCAACCTAACCCACAGCCACAACAGCCACAACCATCACTTCAACCGAACCTACAGCCACAACAGCCACCACTAAAGCTTCAAGTGAAACCACAGCTGCTCCCACTTCAACAGAATCTACAACTGCTGCAACTTCTATAACAGCAAATTCTGTTGCCACTTAATCTTAGCTGACAACTAAAGCAATCACTATTTCTACCATCTCTTTGGCTAAATGCACAGCTACATTCCCTTCAGCTGAATATACAAACATTACCATTTCCACTTAACCTACAACTACTGTAACTTCCACTTAGCCTACAATAACAATGGTCATCACTCTCCTTCAACAGTCTATAATCTCCACCTATTCATCTGAACCTGCAATGACAAATGCCAACGTTATTATTTGAACCTAATAGAACTACCATCAATCATCAAAATGCTGTTTTCTATGGCAAGTTAACCTTTAGTTATTATCACTACAGATTAGCCTACAACTACCTCTACTCCCCACACTGGCTCTTCCTCCAAATTGTTGCTACCTCTTCTACAATAGCTGAGCCTATATCCACTGCCAGTACTATATTATACCTACAGCAGCTAACATGACGCCACTTGAAGAGTAATAATTTAGACAAAGAATAATTTTCACTAAATCACTTTCACTAAATCCACCCTTAGGACTTCCAAAACTATTAAAACTGTTTTTTATTTTTAAAGAACTGATCATTTAAGCTATAAAGAATCTGGTCTTCTTTCTATAGTTCAAAATAACATAATTTTATTAAAAAGTAACCTAATTTGTTCATTTAGGAAATCTTTAAGAAATTCTATATAAAACCTTATAGTAAAATTAGCCATTTAGATTTAATACGCGTTGCTTTCAGTTTGGAACATTGCATTCCTCTGCACACAAATTACATGCGTAACAAACAGAAGTTTTATATGGGGGAGATTTAAACAAATTTATGCAGAGAAAATTTTAGAATTTGTCATAATCGTTTCCTTTACGGTGACATTTGGTATGTTTATTTGATTTCTCTTTAGATTGTAATTACATTTTAGGCAATTATATTCTATTTGCATTAATATTACCAAAAGTGCACTTGCATCTCTATTTTAAAATTAAGTAATTAATTTTCTGCAATCTTGTAAGCCAATAAATTAAATGACGTGTCTTAAGTCCCAACTATGTGCTAAAGTATGGAAGACACAGAAGAAGAAAATAGCAATGCAGATTGAACAGTAAGTTTGTTAATTGAATTCTAATTTTGAATTCTTAATAATTCTAGCAGACTTAAATTACAATTGACGATAGCCCAGACTTACTAAATCAGACAACTAAAATCTTTAGATTGGAACTATAGATTAAGTAATCTATATGGAACTATAGATTAAGTAATCTATAACTTAAAAAACTTCACAAATGTTTATAATGTCCAGGCAGGTTTGAAAATTGCTGGTTCAAAGGTCATAGTATAAGAATGACATTAGTTAGTGTAAATTCTAATTAAAAATATTAAAAATCAGAATCATGTTCTATGCATGCAAGGAAAACAATTATAGACCTAGCTATGTACAAAAAACTTAACCAATTATACATATGATCAAGAGGGGAATGTTTCATTTACCAAATAGTAAAAAATATTTTCAAGAAAAACTTTTGAAACTTCTAGGCAAATTTTAAATCATTTAAAATCATTTAAAGTTGGACCAAAGTGGATACTCACTGCTAATTTTTACTAGCTGAGTTATTTCAATTATATGTGCTTAGAAGTAATGAAGTTTTAGTAAGTACGTTAATTTAGTTTTCTAATAATACACATTGGCCTTCCCTTTCCTCCTTGCTGTTTTGATTAGTAATATTTTATGAGATATTTAAAACATCACTGATTAGACCATTCAGTTTCTGATGTGAAGTTATAATTTTCTAATTCTTTCAAAGCTCTGCTAGTCATCAGAATGATAAATGATCTGAAGTTTACCCATACTCATAAATAAATACATGTACAGCTTATTTTATAAAGAATGATAAAATTTATTCACCTGCAACATAATTGGTTCTTAAGAAATACACATTCAATAAATAAATGGTAACTGACTTGTACTATATAAGATCCATGAGAATAGACCTTTGTATTACTTATTATTATATCCACTTGGCATATAATAGAACCCAATAAATATTTATTTCAAATTTCAAATATTTATATTTGAAAAATAATTTTTAAGGTGTGACTCTGCAAGAAAAGAATATTTAGCATCTTAGATGTTAGAATTAATAAAATACTTTAGCCCATTTTTGTTGAGGTTGAATCATTCCAATTCTTTTCATCCTTTTTTCACAAGATTTATTTTCCACCTTTTAATAATGTAATTGATTATTTTCTGAATGCTCACAGTTTTCATAAATTTGGAGCTCATAAGTTCTTATGGCACCTAGTAAAGGCTTCAGTTCGCTGTTGATCATTGGAAGAGGAGCTACGGTGGTGGGGAGGGGGGTGGGATGGGACAACAGAAATTATTAATCAACTACTATATACCAGGCAAAGATTATAAGAGATTTTCATACTTTTGGCTCATATTTGTGTTTCCCATAGTGTTATTTTTACCATATGGTCCCGTTTGTAATCCACCGCACACCCTAGTACCTCCCTGAAAAACATCCGCAACTAAAGAATTTTGTATGTGCAACACTTCCATTTGTTTTTCTTCTCAGCTTTAATGAACATTATTTGAAAGTTTTCTCTCTATTTAAACTATTTGGAAATGGCCATCTTGGTTTATCATCTATTATTCCTAAAGCCATCTAAACAGAAGGGTGCAGTAGGGGATACAGGACAGGGGGCTCTTGTTTAGTTATAAGCCACCTGATCATTTAGAAGGTTTAATCCCATTTTCTAGTCTTAATGCAAGTAAATCAATGGTGTAGGTCAAATGATGTGATGAGAAAGAATTCAGTACCTTAACTGTGTGACACAACTCTTGTCCCTTATTTCCAGATCTCAGCATATGCTACTTTGAAATTTTATTGTATCTTTTCCCTTCCTAACAATATTAGAAGAAATATAAAACTTTTTTGTGGGTGCATCAATACCTAAAGAAAATACCAACTATGATTTTAGCTAGCTGCCAGACAACAATTCTGAATACAACTGCTTTAAGACAGATAAAGCACTATGTTCCAGAAAAATGGAACATAGATATCTAATATTAAAAAACTGTAGCCAAACCCTATCTATTTGATTTCATTTCAAAACCATACCTGGTGGACTCTGGTCTTTCTTTATAGTTTCAGTCCTCCTGGATGCTGCTGTATCTTCTTTTTCTTTAGCTGTGTTGGAATCATTTTCTGGTTTTCTCATTTAGGTTAATGTTTCCAGCAATAGTCTTCAATTTTCTTGCAGTATCCCTCTATTATTTCCCCTGCAGATTTGTAATGACTTCTACCCCACTTCATCTTGGCCCACCAATTCAAACTCCTTCTTATTTACTAATTTAAGGTGACTTCTCAGCCATTTGACTGAGAAGAGGTAGAATACCACCAGAACTTGACAATCTAGGATTCTGTGTTGATCGGCACTTCTGTTCCCTTGCTAGGGTAAAAGGTGAGGCCACTGGCCATAAAGCTAAAGATAGAATACAATTCATTTAGGATTGTCGTTGCTTGAGTCATAGCAACTTCTTCTATATCAGGACAAAAGAATGCTCAGCAGCAACACAAAGCTAATATCAAAGCTAATATTAAATATAAAGCTAATATAATATTCTACTTCCGTCACTCTCTGGGCCATTGCCAAGGCTGGCAGAAATTCAGTTGCTTTGAAACAACTCAATGTAGCCAAGAGATTCTTTTTAAAAGCCTCAGATTTCACCCTAGTAAAAGATATAACAACCATTAACACATTTTTTGGATATATTTTCATCAATTCAACATTGTCTTAGGATTAAGTCACTTATGAGGACCAAGCAAGGTCCTTCTAACTCTGATTTTCATTTTGAGGAAACTAGATGTTTGAGTAATTCACCTGTTCCAGCAATAACTAGCAGCACTGGGGCTCAACTCTGAGATTCTGACACCTAAAGCCCTTTGCCTTTTAGACAAGTTTCCTCTTTTGCCACTGTCATTTTCTTCCAGATACACAAGAAATCCCTCCAAGGGATAAGAGTTTTCCTCCCACAGTGGTGATTCCCTGGAATTTGAGAAACAAATCATAATCTTTGGAGTAGGCAGAGGTACACCCTTTACCCCAAACAGAAACTTATTGTAAAACTTTTATGCTTAAAGATAATTATACGCTCAGAAAATCACTGAGTTCACTTACACATACAAAGGATATTAACGAATAATACGAAGAAGGGGAATAACAATTCGGTAATAAAAAAATCTTCAACGTAAATAATTTAAAAATGAAATAACAAATACCTGTTTTTCTTAATGGCATTGGGAATAAAATACACTCAACAATGGTGAGCATGAAGTGAAATAGGCAATCTTGTACTGCGTTGATGGCACCATGAATCAGTTTAGATGTATTGGGGGAAAAACTTGGAGACCTGTATTAAAAGATTTAAAACGTTATAACCTTTGTCAGGTAAGTCTAATTGTTGGAATCTATGCCAAGAAAATACCGGAAATATAGAAAAGTACTTTATGGTACAAATAATTTTTTTGTAGTTTTTCTCATGAATGCAAACTATTGGAAAACAAATAGCCAAAAGCAGAAGAAGTATATGATGAAATTAGTATAGTCATGATAATTTTGAACATCTTGAAATGTGGTAAAAAAGTAAATTATAAAGTATATAGCGCAATTTCAAGACAAAAAGAAATATGGGACTATACTAAAAGATGGTTTTCTCAAATAGTAGAGGTTTGAGGTTTGAGGAAGTATTTTTTGGTTGATTATACCTATCTATATTTTATAAATCTTCTACTATTATATTTTTATCATGCAGAAAAAAATGTTATTAAAGAAAATCAGATTATCTTTTCAGCAAATACAGATCATCTGTCTAACACACTGTTT